TCAGAATCACAACTGACAGTTCAACACAACCCCTCAAGTCATGGAAAGCCTGGAGTGCAGTATTTCAAGCTTTAAAAGAAAACAAACTCCAACCTAGGCTGATGTATCCTGCAAAACTATCTTTCAAAACTGATGGAGAAGTAAGATGTTTTCATGATGAAGAACACCTGAGAAACTTCATGAGTACCAAACCAGCACTCCAAACAATTTTTTTAAATATCCTAGAAAAAGGCAATGAAGGTCAAAACTTCATGAGGCATGACAGAGCAAATCCAATAGGCAAGAAGTTAAAGGGAGGGGGAGAAAAATAAAAAAAGGACAAACAACAGGAAAGTAATATGACAATGATAGGTCAATACATATCAGTTATAACCATCAATGTCAATGGCCTGAATTCACCAGTCAAAAGAAATAGACTGGCAAAATGGATTAAGAAGCAAAATCCAACAATATGCTGTATACAAGAAACAAAGCTACTTGAAAATGATACTAATAGCCTGAAAGTAAAAGGATGAAAAATAGTTCTCCGTATGACAGGAACCTGGAAAAAAGCAGGGGTAGCTATTTTATTTGCAAAAAAAGTAAAGTTCAAACCAAAATTAATTAACAGAGAAAAAGAAGTTGACTACATCCTTGTAAAGAGAACAATCCAAGAGGAAGAGATGACAATCATAAATATATATGCAACAAATACTAATGCTTCCAACTATACAAACCAAATACTAAGAGGCATGAAACACCAAATTAGCACAATACAATTGTATTAAGGACCTCAATACCCATTGTCACAAATAGACGGATCATCTAGACTAAAAATCAACAATGAAATACTACAACTGAACCAAGATTTTGAACAAATGGACTTAATAGATGTCTACAGAATGTGCCATTCCACAAAATCAGAATACACATTCTTTTTGGCTGCACATGGGTCATTTTCCAAAATAGACCACATGATAGCTCATAGAACATGTTTAAGTAAATGCAAAGGAATTGAATTTATCCCATGTATATTATCAGACCAATATGGAAACTGAATAACACTCTCCTGAACAACCAATGGGTCACAGGAAATTAAAGAAGAAATTAGACAGGTTTTACAATTTAATGACAATGCCAGTACAACATACAGGAATCTATGGGATACAATAAAAGCAGTTTTATGTGGAAATTCATAGCAGTGAATTCCCACACTAGGCAAACAAAGCGAGCTGAAATAACATAATGCTGAATCTTAAGCTCCTAGAGAAAGAAGAGCAAGAGAAATCTAAAGCTCGTACAAGGGAGGAAATTATAAAGATCAGAGCAGAAATCAATGCAATAGAGACTAAGAGAACAATACAAAAAAATAACCAATGAATTGAAGAGTTGGTATTTTAAAAAGAATAAATAAAATTGATAAACCCTTAGCCAACCTTGTCAAAAAAAGAAAAGGCTCAAATTCATGCAATTAGGAATGCAAATGGTGAAGTCACAATAGATTCAGCAGAAATCCAGAGGATCATCAATACTTACTTCAAGAGCCTGTACTCTAATAAAATGGAGAACACAGAAGAAATGGACAAATTTCTAGATACATGTGAATTACCAAAGTTGAATGAAAAAGATATAAAAAATTCTAAACACCCCAATTACAATCAGTGAAATTGAAAATGTAATTAAAAATTTACCAACAAAGATAGCTTCACTACTGAATTCTACAAAACATTTAGAGAAGAACTACTGCCACTACTCTTTAAACTTTTCAATGAAATTGAAAGAGAAGCAATACTTTCAAATTCATTCCTGGAAGCAAGTGTTACTTTGATTCTAAAACCAGGGAAAGACCCAACCAAAACAGAGAACTACAGACCAACCTCCCTAATGAACACAGATGCAAAAAGCCTCAATAAGATACTAGCAAACAGAATGCAGAGGGTCAAGAAGATCATACACCCTGACCAAGTCAGATTTACCCTAGAGATGCAAGAATGGTTCAACATACATAAATGAATAAATGCAATTATATTAACAATCAAGGACAAAAAACATATCCTCTCAATAGATGTTATATTGCATAACTAAGTCAAACTTTCATTTATTGCTTAATTTTTATCATTGCTGTTTCCTGTGTCAGAAAAAGCATTTGACAAAATAGCATAACTGTTGATCTGATAATTGAGATGGGCAGTAAATGATGAACAGGTAGGTAGTACATACAGGACAGCATGGAAATGCTAGGCAAAGGGTGATTCCACTTCCTGGGCAGGATGGAGAAAGAGGGCATGGAATTCTATCATATTACAACATTGTATAACTTAAAATTTATGAATTGGTTATTTTTGGAATTTGCTATTTAATATTTTCAGACCATAGTTAACTCTTGGGTAACTGAAACACAAAAAACAAAATTGCAGATAAGGGTGCATGACTGTACTATTCAAATCTGCATTGTTTCACTTTTTTATTGTTTACAGTACTGAAGTGTTCTGATGCTCTTCAGAGGCAGTAGGTAACATGAGGTGCTGATCTATCTCACCTGCTCTCTTCACCCCTTCAACCTTAAGCTGCTAGCTCTTTGTGACCTTCAACACTTAATTGATTGCTTACATGTTTTTCCCATATGTACTTACAATTCAGGACCACTTTGAGGTTGTAATCTATCACCTATTTGACTTAGTAAGCCTAAAATTAACAATAAGCTCTTCTATTCCTGGGTATGGAAATTATACATCTGTATGTCTACATTTCTTTCTTCCTTCCTTTCTTTCCCCTTCATGGAGTTGGTCATAGGTTCTTACCAGATTCTCAAGGACACATTAAGAGCCTTTCTCAGAGAGTTATACTCAAACTTGGCCTAAATCTCTAATATGCCAATGAGTTCCAACTAGATTGTGCTAAAGTCAAAAGAAAAGAAAACTCTCACAGTCTCTTGGACACCAGCAATTACATCTAAAAGTAAATATTTTCTATTTTTGCATTTTCTATTTTTGCATCTACATCGGGTCATAATAAAATGTATGAAAAAGTTACCTTTTTCAGAAAGGGCAAGTTGTTGGACATAAAAGGAGATAGTTTAAAAAGAAATGAAATACGTGAAAGTATATGCATAATAACATTTATAGGGTGGCAAAAAAGAAACAAAAATACAGTTGTGAATTCAATGTTGTCAGGGAAAAGAATGTTTTACAAAGAGCTTTTGAAGAAGAATTTAAAACACTTGATACAGTAAAGTTGGCACAGCTTTTTTTTACCCTAAAAAAAAGAAATATCGTTAAATTTCTTTCATTTATATGGTGGTAAATTGGTGACAATTATTTGACACTTGCCATTCAACTTCCAAATTGTAAAGCTATTTTTTAATCTCTTGAAAAGATGTTGTGGCTCTAATCAAAAGTAGGCCAGCGTATTATCTACTAAAAAGGCTTTTAGGGTTATCTTTTAAACATAAGCTTCAGTAATTCTAATACAGAAAATGATTTGATACTTTTATATGTGAGGTGAATATACATTAAACTCATAAATATCTTCTTTGTCTCACACTGATAAAAAGAAAAAAAATAATTAAATTTGTCATGTTATTTTTAGATTTTTTTAATATACCTAAGCATTCTTATTATGCAAATCACTCATATATGTGATCATAAAATAGGGAGCTGATTAGGAAGAAGAGAATACAACTTCAATCCTCCTGCTTCAGCCTCCCAGAGATCTGGAATTACAGGGCTGTACTACCACATCCAATTTAAAGAGGCCATTTCTGAGCTGGGAGACAGACCTTCATCGGTCACCAACATAGGACCTTATCTGCTGAAGACCTAAAGGATAATCTTCTATATGTTCCTCTTAAATTTATTCACCTTCAAAAATAGGAAGTCATCAAAGTCTTACCAACAAATCACAATGCAGTAATTGAAAAATATGGTGAATGTTTACATTTTTGAAATGATGACAGGAAAGGACACATTGCCATTGATCCCCCTCAAAATCCTCCCCTCAGCCTCAAATACACTTATCTCACCTTTCCTGCCACTTTCTGAAGCAGTTCTCCAAGTCTTCCTTCATGACTTTATGAGATGTGATGATCAAAAATACTGTGAATGCTGCTGCTGCTCAGCCTCCTCTAACAGTAGAGCAGGCTCCTAAAAACATGGCATGTCCTCACCCGATCTGGCACTATGTGACTTCTGACTCTTCCTAAAATCAGAATTAATGCTGAGTTGATTCAGGACACCAAGGCAGCTATAACAACACAACTAAAGAATCTCATGAAAAAGGACTTCTAGAACTGCTCCAGAAAGTAGCAAAAGCAATGAGATGAGTATGTTTGAAGACAGGGAGAAAATTTTGAATTTCATATAATGGCAATGTGTCTTTCACTGTAATAAGTTATTATTTACACATACATCCTAATTTTCAATCACATCTCATCTAGATCTCAAAATCTTTACCTACATATTAGCTGCACTATTAGCTTTAATCAAAGAATAAAAGTAAAAGCTTGACTTATTTTCTAAAAGAAATGTACATTTGTCTTTTAGATGCCTGGGCCCTTTAACAGATATGTGCAGATTTGGTCATTCACTGTACTCCTCTCCTGTCTCCTGTTCCCTTTTATCAAACGTGTACTCAATTGTTATTACTTGTTGCAGTCAATGTTGAAAGATAATGCATACCCAAAGTCTACTTTCAGATCCCTGGAATTCATCCATCTCTCACTTTAATAAGAGTGTCTGTTGGTAGACACAATGAAAATAAATGTGAAGCAGTAAAATCAGATATCATTAAATGATCTAAAGCTCATGTCCACTACAGCCATATGCGTCTCTGTTCACAATGCACTCAGTACCAACCTTTCAGCAGCAGAACTCAACATGAGCCCCATCTGCCATTCTAAATTAGAGCAATGTTACTTCATCATCATTTGCTGGGAATCTTCCCTCTAGTTCCAAAATTGTCTTCAGTATGAACTTCTAGACCACCTGAACTCTATATAACTAGGCAGTGTTGCTTCTTTTCAGATGGCTACACCACTGATGACATTGAGTTTTACTGGAACGGAGGAGAGAAAGCAGTAACTGGAGTTAATAAAATTGAGCTCCCTCAGTTTTCAATTGTTGACTACAAGATGGTGTCCAAAAAAGTGGAGTTCACGACAGGTGAGGATGATTCCTCCACAGTTTACTAGAAATGCCTGCAAAGGCAGAAGATGACTGCAATCCAATGATGCTTGGATTTTCTTTTCTTTCTTTTTCAACTCAGGAGCATATCCACGACTGTCATTAAGTTTTCGTCTAAAGAGAAACATCGGTTACTTCATTTTGCAAACCTACATGCCTTCTACACTGATTACAATTCTATCCTGGGTGTCATTTTGGATCAATTACGATGCGTCTGCAGCCAGAGTCGCACTAGGTATGCATTCCCAGTAGTGCAGAGGCGACGGGTTGTACCTCCAAACAAAAGCCCATATTAGGGTTCATATGCAAGGACTTTCTTATCACAAGATGAAGAAAATATCAAAAGAATGCTTAGATTAAAACCATTTAAATTGACAGTGTGAAATAGGAAGAAAAGGGCTAAAGGTGTAGGGAAAGTGGGAAGGGTAGGGGAAAGGTAATAAGGGAAAAGAAAAAAATATGAGAAAATGAAAAAATGGAAATAAAGTGTTTTTAAATGGGAAGGAGAGGAGTGGGGGAAGGGAGGGCAGGGACAAGGGGAAAAAATGAGAACCAAGACCTGTCATGTAAAGGTACAAGATCCCAATAATGAATGTAACTGTACTGTATACCTAAAATGTACCAATAAACTCAATTAAAAAATCATTTAATATAAGAATACTTAAAATCATCTAAATATGAGAACAATTCTTTATAATGAATTATTACAATTAAATATATTTTAGCGCTTTACCTGAAAGACAATTATTGGAGTATATTCCTATCTATGCACTTTGTGAAGTATATTTTTAAATTCACAGTACACATATTTTTTCTAAATTTGTGATGACTTCCTCTTTGTTCTCTGCTTTTTACTGTGTAAAACACTTACAACTCCTTTTTTTTGGTACCGGGAATCAAACTCGGGTCCTTGCACTTGCGAGGCAGGCAGCAGAATCACTGAGCTAAACCGCCGGCATAACTCATTATTTTTAGATAGACTTGAAGAAAGCCAAGCCTTGTGATCATTACAAGCTACATCAGTTTTTGGGAAACACCATCTTTAGAATATTAACTAAGGTTAAAACATATCAAGCTGAGTCTCCTTTAAATGGAGCTCATTATATTGCATGAAGCACATACAGTTTATCAACTATATTAATGATCTCTGATCAACCCAGAATAAAAAATGTTTTTCTTTTTGGTAGAACAAAATCTAGAATTAATCTTGCCATGTTGAATAATTGGCTGAAACCTGAAAGGTTATACTTGAGATTGTAAGTTCTTCATTGAAAGTTAGAATTTGTAAGGTGTGCCTGATGATTCTGGGTATCTATAGATATGCTTCTTTATTTAAACTTCAACCATTTTAGTAATCACTTCCTGGACTTATTCAGAAAGACAGACAGACAGACACACACACACACACACACACACACACACTCACGAGCATCACTTCTGGCTAAGAGAATATATTACATCTCTTCTGAGATTACTGAGCTGGGTTAAATAACCATTACACACTTTCACATCTAAACTAATAATCACCTTTACCACCTATTTATGAGGCTTACAATGTCAAGGGCTGGCAGCTTCTTTAAACATTCTAAGACTAAAGAAAGCAAAGGAGTAATTTATCCTATTATTCACATGTTTCTGTACATATTCTTTGAATGTGAGTATGCCATGTGCATGTGCCATGATTATTGTAAAAAAAAAAAAAAAAAAAAAAAAAAAAAACAGGATGATGTCCTCAGCAGGGAAGAATAGCTAGCAAATTCATGAACCGTGATTCTCTTGGTGCATCTATTCTCAAAGCTAATAATATTTTGACTGGAGATATTAGAGATGTGAGACTATAAATATGCTGATTCAATCTATTTTGGAATGTAAATCTGACATATTTTAAACATATGTAATTTTAAAAGGCATTCATTTACTAATCCTTTTCCTTAAAATTTTAACCAAAGACTAAAGTAGACATACAATTAGTGAATTTGTAAATGAATTAGGCATTTTTAAGCATAGTAGCTATAACTATTTTAGATAAAATTTTAAAATTTGTTCAAAAGAATAAATATGACCACTCATAATGGCATTTTATATCAGTCCAGACCATCTGAATTAATCACTGATGTGAATTATTTTAATTTTTATATGGTAGTCCTGACTTCCTACCTTATCTAGTCTTCAAAAATTATAATTGTTGAATCACAGAATCTATATATCTAGAATAATCAGTGGAAAAAGACATGCAAATTTTCTTTTTCTTTTCCTTTTATTTTGCTATCTCCCATTCCCTTTCCAGTTTCCTTTGTCTTTTCTATCCATTTAATATTTTCTGCCATTATTTTAAAACACTTTCACCAAATCTCAAATACCAACTCATTTCTTTGTTTATTTTTAAATACTGTTGTTTAACATCTCCTTAAATTTTTACCCTTCAGATGGATGCCCTAATCTCAAATTTTGTTTACCCATCTATAAAAAAGATTAATAGGCTTTTGCTCTCATACTCAATATGCTCTCATGACAGCCATAGGAGATAACTCATAACTGTAGGTGTTTAAATCTAGAAAACACCATAAAAAGTATAACATTATATTGCAGCTCCAACTATCTACACAACATTTCAATTTCTTTTTTTTTTCATTTCTTATTTTTGCCAATTATTATTTCATCCTAATCATGAATTTATGCAACGCAAAGTAGATTTCTGTTTATGGATTTAAATTATTTTCACAATTCTAAAATCAATTTTTAAGAAGGTTTTTCCTAACAGAATTTATTTGTTCTAGGCTGTGGGACCAAGAAAGTAGAGGTAATATTTGAAAAATCCAAACAATGAGATTATGTTGTATCTAAAAGATACATAAATGAAATATTTTTTTAGTAAGTGATGTAAGCCATAAACTTTCTTATATGCTTCTTCTTTTGGTGATTCCTTAGCATGAATGATTCATTATTTTAAAATGCAGCCCTCACCTTGGAAAATTTGGATGTACTATGAATTTATGGAATACAGTAGATCTCAAACTGGTCATCATTTTTTTTTTTTTTTTTTTTTG